TATATATTTCTTTCCCCCTTAGATATCACATTATCTCATTATAAGGCAACACCTAAATCTTCATAAGACATAAGCTAATTACATTTATCCTTATCTTTGAAACGTCTTCCAACTAATTTAATACTCCTCATTAAGTGCCAAATATAATCGCAGCATTATTATCGCAGGACGTATTTACTTTCTTCTTGCATATTTCAACAGTATACAAATTCGGATAGAGGAAAATAAAATTATAAACTTTATCATAAATTTCCATAATAATGCAATTTTTCAAGCGTGTCTGTTTTTGAGTATCCAATTCGCGAATGCCTAATTAGGAAGAAGGTAAATACGGCTCTGATAATGAGCCGGTGCGATTAGTTAAAACTCAGAAACAGAGAAATCTTTCCTGGGAATCCTGGGAAATTCTACAATTCATTTTACGCTTTTATAAACTGAATATAACTCCTATCTGTAGCAGAATAATTATTATTTAAAGTAGAAGTTCCACCGCTTCAAATTCACGTCCCGAATCGTCGTATTAAAATTATACAAGTTGAAAATTGTACAATAGGAATAAATTTAGGCTCTAAAAAATATAAATCAAAAGAATATAAAGTACCTGTAAGTACCTATATAAATGCAAAGAATATAAAGTTCTTATAAGTAGCCAATATAATATAAAGTACCTATAACAGACAACACAAAAAAAAGAATTGGGTCATATATTCCCATATAAAAATATAAATGTTTCAATTCTCGTTCTGGACCATCCTCAGTATATCAAATAAAATTTATTGCTAACACTAAAATTCATACACTTTATAAAGCACGTGTATGATGATGAAAACCGTCAGAAAATGAAATGAAGTACATAATTAATTAATTAAGTATCACAAAGATCCAGTAATAAGTTGAAGAAATTTAGTTATATAGAAAAAAGTCAAATACTTGTGACTTGTTGACTTATTCAGAAATGGTCAACATTGAATTTAACAAACACAAATAGTTAGTAAGTATCGAAAATTTAAAATACAGACAGAAAAGAGTCTTGTGGAAAATTGTAGGCACGTTTATGAAATCACTTATCTAGTAGAGCATCTTCTCATAAATGATCTGTAAATTTTAATTATATAGTGTAACTGTATAGTGCTTATATTATCATGATATTTTCATATACCAGCATATACATTCTGTTCCAGTTTGTCGGCGAGCGTTTACAGACTTCACGCAGGAAGTAACGACAAATACGAGGGGGGGGAGGGCCTTTTATCCAGTAAAAAGATCGTTCAACATCCCGCCTACAATTTCCTGACAATCGATTACGATATCATCCTTCTCGAGGTAACATCGACCTTTATCTCTTTCTTCTTCTCTTTTGCTTTCTCGCCCCGATCTCTCTGTTTTTGCTCGTTAACGACTCTGCGCCAGCTGACAATAACAACATCGGTAGTTCTCACACACTCTGGAAATTTCATTTCAGATCGACGGCGAAATCGTATTTAACGATAGGGTGCAGACAGTGAGCTTCCGAAAAAGGAACTCATGGATGATGTTATGGTGAACGTTACCGGATAGGGCGCGGTGGAGATAAGTGCACGGGGAATAGACTCATTATTTGAACGTTGCGGAAAACAAATGGAGCTAAATAATAGCGAATTTCGCCCAGTCGACCAAGCACGACTCGAAGATTTCATAGGAGCGCTATTCCGTATCGGAAACACACCACACAATATTCAGTGTACGATAAAAAAAAAATCAATATCCCCTGCGTCCTGTTTGTAACGATACTAAATTACGTTGTGGCTATATTAAAGGTATTAAATTACTGCGCCATTGTTACTTCATCCATAGACTTCCCTTTCCGATCTGGCGCAAAACTACAACTTTCATAGCATATCCTCCGCTAATTCCTCGATGCTGATATTTGATAACCGATATCGACTTCGTTCTATATATCTCTAGGTGTTGGTATCTGTACTTTACAAGAAAGATTGGAGTGGATGATCATTATGCATTATGCATTATATGTTACAATTATATTATAATCGATATGGTCATATCGATAATTCTAACACGCTCTATTAAGGACGTCTTCTTCGACAAAATCCATTCTTTAGATTTTTCTGAAACTTACAGAATAAGTTTGTTTTAGTGTCCTGAACATATATGTGCTTTAAAACTCAATACTCGGAGCGGAATTAAAAATCGAAATGTTCCACTTCAAAGTTGAAACGTTTAAAATATATATACATATATATATACACATATATATACATATATATACATATATATACATATATATAATATATATATACATACATATGTATACATACATATATATATATATATACATTATACACATAGGATCTCTACTTAAAGCTTATTTAAAAATAGTCTTTTTATTCACTGTAAAAAAGTTTTTCTTAACAATTTTTTGAAACAATGAGACATAAAACTTAATATCGTAAAAAATAATATGAAATTTGTCTGAAATGGCTTCCGGTATTCGTTTTCAAGAAATCATTGAGCAAAGTAAGTAGCAAAGTAAGTAAAGTCGCTATTTTTTCGACCGACGGCAGTAGCGAAGATGGGAGGCATTTTATATTGTATAAAAAAACTTGTATAAAAACATACTTGTGGAATATCTTATACTATATAAAAGTGAAATAAATTTTCATAAAAATTTTCATAATGGTGAGCACTAAAAAAAATATGCTCATTAGGTTGAGCACAACTAGTCAGAGAACGTTCTTTAGACGCATTAGAGTAGTCAAAATGGTCGCTGTGTGTTAATTCAATCAATTCAGTTTACGAAAATTGTAAAATAATTTCTATTTTAGGAAAATGGAAAATTATCACCAATGTTAATGACAATATCTCTTCCGATTGTGAGCAAAAAAATGTATCAAGTATATATAAATATACTAATCCGCCGCATCACCGATCGAATGATTTGTGCGGGTTACATGCATGGCGGCCAAGATGCGTGTGAAGGTGATTCGGGCGAACCTCTTATGGATGATACTCTCTACGGAATTGTATCCTGGAGATACAAATGCACTGAGCCACTTTATCCCGGTATTTATACAAGTGTTTATACAACATTTATACAATGTTTATACGGACCTTCTGTGGTGGACCAGTGGTTTGAGTTTCGACAATTACGCTCTTTGCTATGCGTCTCAATTTGTAGATGATAGAACATCGAGTGTGGCTACTCAGTAAAAGAGCAGGATAATATTTGTGTGAGACAGATCTTAAGAGATAAGAATTTTATAGAGTTTTATGTAATTTATTAAATAGAATTTTATGTAATATTTTATATAAAAATTAATACAAATGAAATTGCGAGTTTCGAGATCAAAGTAATTTTAGGAAAAAAATAAACGATACAAAATCGATATAATTATGCTCTTATTAATATTAAAAAGTATTAAAAAGTATAAATTAAAACAAATAATGAAGAAAATAAATTAATGATATTAGTATTGATGTTGTAAGTACCCAACAAGCTCAAATGTTTTAATTAAACGACGTTTTAATTAAAAATAAAGATATCGTTGGAAAGCATAAAGTACATTTTATATAGTTCTTCTTTCTCTCTCTTCCCTCTCTATTCCTCCTCTCTCTTTCTCTCTCTCTCCCCCTCTCTCTCTTTCTCCCTCCCCTCTCTCTCTCTCTCCACACTAGAAGTTTAATTAGCTATCATAATTTAACATGGTTATATCATTATTTGTCGATCGATAAGATATCACTTATGCATATGTTACGTGGTTGTGTAATATCAATTAGTTTGACATACAAACATTATCCCAGAATTAAATTACGCTTCTAATGTAACAATTCCAAATTAATCGCGGCATTCTTTTATATTTCCTGATAACGATTTGTTATAATTTTCAACATAGATAATGCGATACTAAAAATTTATCATTTATGGACAGAAAATAAATTTCCATTCGAATCATTCTGTGACACAATCGCTTCATGCAAGAATCACTCGTAGCTAATTAGTGTTAAAAAATGTTCCAAAAACTCATCTTACTATTCTGCGTATATTTAACAGTTTTAGTATACAGTGAGTCAAATTTTGTTACATATCCGCACTTTTCACACTGAATTGTTTTACATAAATTGTGATTACAGCTGTTAATACCGAAAAGCACGAATATGTGGTCATCGAGGATTATCCATACCATGTGAGAGAAACTCATTTCTTTTTTTTTCCATTTGCGATAGCTTGTAGTATCTACCGTGCGTTCCGCCGGCAAATAAAACTATATGTCATTCACATGTGGCTTTAATCGGTAGTCAGTACAGCACGGTGACTGTAAGCCGCTATTATTTTCAAATAAATCGGATTTCAGACAGAATTCGTTATTCCAATACAGGTATCGATCCAGATAGCCGGACTACACGTTTGCAGCGGCGCGTTCATACATGAATCGTGGATTATGACTGCGGCTTCCTGTGTTTTTAGGTACGTGCTACTGCAAAAGTAATAATATACAGGACGTTCCTTTTAGAAATTATGACTTTGAGACTTTAAAAGATTTCTTCACGAATTTAAAGCTGACTTTATAAAGCTGACTTTATCTTAGGATTTAGAAATATTAATGTTTTCTTAGTTTTGATATATGCAATATGAATTGACAATATGTTTTATATTTTTTAACTTTCAGATTTTATAGTAGATATGTTTTATACAGGAAAAGGACAATTTTACTAAGATATTTAAAAAATTGGCTAAATACTGGCTAGATTGAAAACAATTTTGTCCAGGAAAATATTATAATTATGTAGGGAACTAAAGCATGATGAACAATGCTGCAAACAAATTTTATATTCACTCTTAGTGTTATTTTCAAGTTAAAATTATTTTCAATTCTGTATTTAGCTACATTTTTTTAATAATTTTAGCATAATCATTCTTTACAGAATGTCTGATAAATTTTGACAAAACGCTCGTATGTATTAGATTGAGCGAACTAAACTGAGCCGAAATTGCAATTTTCGTAATTTTTCTTCAGTTATCTAATGAGCAAAATATCTAAAATTGACATATGAAACAATTTTAAGATACCTTTACAAGTTCTTTAAGATATTTTATAAAGAAGTCTGAAATAAATCTTAAAGTTTAAAGCGTTATTAAAGCATTGATTTTATCCGCTTATTCGATAATCTTTAAAAATTAATATCTCGTTCACTATCACGAAAATTACACACACACGCCCACACACACACACACACACACACACACACACACACACACACACACACACACACACACACTCACTCACTCACTCACTCACTCACTCACTCACTCACTCACTCACTCACTCACTCACTCACTCACTCACTCACACACTCACTCACTCACACTCACACACACACACACACACACACACACACACACACACACAGATATATTTTATTAATATATCGCTTTTGTTAATATGTCGATTAATAAAACATTGATACATTTCATTAAAATGTTTATTAATATATCCTAGAGTAAAATCATCGATAGTATCCGTACGCGTGCGTTCCTCTTATACCTCCAAGGATGGCGATGTATTAGAAATAGACAAAATTGAGGTGCACGAAAATTTTGATAAGTATGTATATCTCCACGATATAGCATTGATGAAGGTACGTATATCCATTTATTGAACAAACATCTTACGCGCCCGTGTTTTATTGGTTTATTGCATGCGCCTATGCAAAGTTGTCATATTTATCAAACTTGTAGCTAAAGAGTCCTGCAGAGTTTGGAGAAAAGTTGCTTCCTATTGCACTGCCGGAAAATGAAAAACTCCAGGATGGGGCCCATTGTGTCGTGACTGGCTGGAAACGAACTCGGGTAAATATTCGAGTGAGACGCGTAGCTTTAGTCTATTTTGAAATTTTCACAATCCTTTGCTCGAAAATACCATTTCTTATCGTTTGATGAAGTATCCAGGTGCCACGACACTTGGGGAACGCGTGACTCCGTCGTTCTTTCGCGGTGAAACGCTTCTCCTGGAGTTAGCAACTTCCATGGAACGAGATTTTTACAACGAGCGTACATAGGCATTTTTACAGGAACTTGGATATGTAAACTTTCTGCAACTTCCCGCCAACCGGTTGGCACTCGCACGATGTTATTCAAAGTCACGTCGGTACCAAAAAGTAAATCGTTACGAAACACTGTCGCAAAACGTTCGTGCGCGTTCGTAACTCCCTCCTTCCCCCCCCCCCTCCCCCTCCTCTTTCCGTTTTGCTGCGACGAGATCGCAATAACGAGAAACGTGTCGTAAAAACGTGCGAGCCGTGCCAAATTTCCAGGGGACCAGCCCAAGCGGAGTTCAGCTCGCGGCGGCCGCTGTGGCGATCGTAAATCAACGTACGTGCGAGGCGATGATGCCGAGCTACAAGCCGCTGTCTGAGGATATGTTGTGCGCTAATGCTACTCGCCCGTCGGGAAGGTGTCAGGTAAGATAAACATATAAGACGAAAGTGACGCGACACAACTCGAGAAATGGGCGCGGTGATCCGTGAAGGGCTCGCGTGTATGAAACCCGCGACAAATTGTGGACGACACTAGAGAGAGCGTCGACGACACCGACAAGAGACACCTCGACCCCGTCGTCGCATGTCATGACACTTGGCACGCGTGCACGGTATATATGCAGCATCTACGTGCTATTGAACCGGGTGCACGCTCTCGTGTGTCAAGCGCAGTCAATCTGACAAAAAGTACTGTGCGAGATATCAAAATTATTGTGAAATGTCCTTTTAATCGAGAATATAGATAATAATAATAATAATAATAATAATAATAATAATAATAATAATAATAAGGTTTTAGACCAATTAATCCGAGAATTGTGACTTGATTTTTACGATCTGGGTTGTTTTTAGAGGCAAAAAGTTCGAATCGAATTAAATCATAATGGATTCGATTTAATTCATTTTCGAATCTGAGAAATTCGAAACCGAATAAAATCAAAATTTCAAATTATCGGTGGTTTTGATTTCAAATTTGATTATTTTATTTCCTTTATTTTAATGTAAATCCGAGAAAATTTTATTCGATTCAATTCGAAGTAAAAATTTCGATTCGATTTGATTTGATTCGACCTAAATACTTGATTTGTACACCTTTAATGTAAAATATCCTAAAATATTAAAATCTTATTATTCTTAACAACATATTGTATATTAATCGTTTTCCAATTTATTATTATTATGTTTAAGGACATTATGGATAATAAGAATTAATTACAATTTTCTGAAAAAAGCAAGTAGAGAAACCAAACAAATATTAAATGGAAGGAATACGTTAAGCAGCTTATTATAATATTGTAGTGTTTCTAAAAAAAATGAAGGTTTTAATTAACATGATATTTTCTTATTGCGGGTTTTCGATGGAACTGAGTACTTAAAAAATAGTTATTAAAGAAAAAAATGTGTTAAACAATATCCATTTAAAACATTTTACAACAATTTACATTTTTTTGCTGCTAATATATAAAAATATTCCAATGATTATTCCTTTAATGCACATCAAGATGTAAATTTTTTTATATAAATTCTCAATATATTTAATTAATAAATGTGATCCTCGATAATATTTATCAATTAAATAAATAAGGAAAGGATCAATATGGTCAAGGCTAGATCTTAGTGTTTAATATTTTTATATGTAAATTCTAAATATCTTTCAGTTACATAAATGCATTATAAAACATTTACTATCGGATTTAAAACGCAATCATATAAACTAAAGCTAAAATAATATTAAATTAATCATCGATTTGATAAAGATGCAATTAATTGTAAAAAGTTAAGAATTTATTGCAAAATATATTATCCTATCCAGGATTCAAATTTAGAACGCTACGTTTAGAACGAATATTTATTAATTATAATAACAAGTTTATTTAGAATTATTTAAAAAACTAATACTCATCTCTTGTTGACTTATTAATTAATTAACCTAATATTCTATTCCTACCTAATATTATATAATTGAGAATAAATAATGAGAAATGATTTACAATTGTATTAATAATGGTTCATCTATTATTACTAGAATATAATCAGAATAAAATCGATTGAGATTATTGAGATTTTCGAGTAATTTCGAGCACCAATATCGATATGTGAATCTAAGCGCAATCTTGTAATGATCTCGCGAGGAACAGTGATATGTGGAAAATGCGAGGCGCGTAAATTAAGAGCAGTCGATGGTAGTCGAATTCCAATTGTGCCATGGCCACGAGTGTACAATTACATCAATGGAGTCAATAGTCTTTCCGCAAGTACACGCGCGGCTGGTTCAGGTGTCGGATGCACCAGATCGGTGAACAATGCAGCACTTGACTCGAGAACGCAATTTCCACGAGACGCCGAAGCACCGCAAGCGAAATGCGAAGAGACTCGCGCCGGGCGCTAGAAAAATTCCCGTTATTTCGTGACGTGACTATATGCGATCATGTTCGAAGACCGCGGAGCACGAAAATCTCTCGTATGCGGACACAATGTTTTTGTAAAACGTACCTTATTATATTTAAAATAAATTTATGTAGCGAAGATTCAGATTCGGTAGGGATTTTGTAAAGATTTATATATAACTCTTGAGACTTTTTATTTTTATATTTATAAAATTATAAAACAAAAGCCTTACACACACACACACACACACACACACACACACACACACACACACACACACACACACACACACAC